AATCAGGGAGGTGAGGAATGAGAAAGGATAGGTGTGTTCAGCTAAAGAGCCTGAGTTTTATAAGTGTATGTTGTATGTGTCACACTATGCTATTTCACTATATAGCTCAAGACGTATTTGTTAGTCATGAGATATTTAGTGAAACAGCATGGTATTATGATACATGACTATATATAACTCATGATATATGTATAATGATGTCCTATATCATGGTATATATTGAGAGAGAACTAAGTTATTGTGAAGTTTCAGACAGGTTAGCCTTCATGTTGAGATTTGCAGTCTGGAAGCATGACTCAAGCAGATTGGAGCGTAGACAGCAGAGGAAGACACAAGAATCTGGATCGTCCTTTGGGAGTGATTATTGGAACCACCCGAGGAAGCAGGGTCAAGAAGTCAAGACTCCCAAGGAGCGAGATTAGAAAGACATAATCAGGAAGCTTTTGTGAGGTATGTTGTGTGAGTTTTCTGTGGGTTTTGTTGTTGTTGGGTTTTTGTTTTAATTTTGTTTTGTTTTTTACCAACAGCTTTTGAACAACAGACTATGATGGTTGAGGAAGAGAAATAGCTGGGAAATATCAACAAAGAAGACAATGACGTACAATCACCAGAGCCACTCCTCAGCGCGGTTGCCTTGGCAGAAGGCACACACTCTGTTGTACTGCAAACATGCTGTAAAATTCTCCCCAGAGAAAATGTAAATTGAATGCTGGTGATGATCCAACATAACTCATCCCTGGGACTTTCCCCTGAAAGTTCCTTTTAGTCTCTTTTAAATGTGCCCACTTTTACAACAGTGGCCTATTCAGCATTTTTTTTCTTAACCTATAGGAGAAAAATGTATAAACTTTCTTTTAGAACACATGAAGGCACTAAAAGTAGCCATTTTGTCACAAGGATCAAAACTCAGCTGCAGATTTAAGAGCAACAGGAGGATTTGCTCAGCTGGTGCCTTTTGTTCACTGAATGTCAAGGGCTGTCTGACTTCATTAAACTGCTCAGGGCACCTTTGCAGGAAGAGCTCCTGTGAAGCTGCCAAGTCTCCCAGCAAGGTTTAAAAGGGCAGCCTGTGGGTTATAGAGAAAAGACTGTGGGTATCTAGATATAAAAAAAGAAAGCAGGTACAGCCCGTCATTGTTCTAAGCAGAGCATGTTTCCAGTAAAAATGGGCAGGACTTTGTAAAAGCATGTCAAACAATTACACTTAAATGCATCTAATGAAATAACCCCCTTAAAGTTGTCAAGACCGCCAGGCCTCCGCCCCGCCCCGTAGGTTGCCACCTGCAGCCCCTCCATTCCGCCCACGCTGCCAGGAGTCAGACTGGAGCACAGAGGTGTGTCTGCGTGCCTGCAGCTCCTCCCCACGCCCTCAGCATTCAGGAAGTGAGGCAGCTGGATGCATTTAGAATTTAATGAGCATGTTGTTCCAAACACAGAAAAATAGAAAAATCATTTATGGCCCACATCTATTTTTCAAAACATCGTTGAATATTGATTCATTCACAGTATGTGCATTTGCTAAGATGGTCATAATTTCAAGCAATAAAATGTTCTCTGCTCAATAAATCACCAACTTTCTTCCATGTTATTTCGGAATGTCGGATGCAACACAATCACCAGACTTTTATTCTTGTCTAAGCACCAATTTAAAAGTATATTCTGCACCAGCATATGGATTTGGTTTAGAGCATAGAATCTAAAGGAATTTCATTTTCAGTGTCTCATTATTTGGTCGGCTTTATTTTTCCTAGATAAGGCCCTACAGAGAATAGAAAGCAAAAACCCAGTATAATCCAAAGTAGAAGACTTCCTAGAACACATGACGTTCAACACTGTCCACCTCTGAGTATTTCCCTCCTGTGTTAGATATCATATTTATTTGATTGAACACTACTAGGTAAAGTCAAGAGTTGTAACCCACGAGGATTACAATCACTGACTTTTGAAAAGTAGAGCCCTTACTCCTAACATGCCTCAAAATCAGATCTCTGAATGGTGCAAATGGTTAGTGCAGTCAGCTGCTAAGCAAAAAGGTAACAGTTAAGTCCCTGCACATAGGGGCTGCAAATCTCATGGAGTGCCATTTTATTCTGACACACACAGGGTCACCATGAGCTGGAAGTGACTCAATGGCAAGGTGATTTTTGTCCACTTGAAACCCTAGGACGCTGGTCAGAAGAGTGAGGTGCTCACATTGTAAGAGGCAAGATGAGTATCTATCTGCTCCTCTCCCCCTCTTTCCAGGGGACATGTTTGTTGAGAAGAAGAGTTGCTAGACTCTGTCCCACTGCTTAACCCTCTCCTCTCCTTTGCTGGGCAAGGACAGCATAATCATAATCATGTAAGGTACAATTCTGCTACACTTCAAAGTTCTTCCATTCTCAACTCCCAAGAGTTCTGTGTCTACATCCTGGTACCTGAACTCCCTAAAGAAGTTGGTGTCTGAGCCATATTCTTGCTCCAATGTTTTCTGGCCCATCTCTTACCAATCAGAATTTATGATCCCTGTTTCAGTTTATCAGAGTCTCATTAAGACAATAATTTGTGAATTTGACAAATGTAATTCATTCCAAAATATCAATGATGACAATGACTAAATGTTTAACACTTTGAATGGTAATTGAGCTTAATATGGACCCAAAGCTTAAATAGAGGGGAAATTCGGACAACAGTTTCTTTGCTCTGGCTACATATTAGATGCTACATAGAACTACATATAGAGCAGGTACTTTATTAGGACAGATTTTTTTTTTTTAAGCGGCTGCTTTTCTCAGATTTAAAATTTAAGACAAATTTTTAACCTTATATTTACTATTACTCATTTTTTTCAGGTTGAACATTTGATTCATGTTACATTACTACTTTCTACCTACCAGAAGTTTTACAACTGAAAGGAATCAGATAAGTTGCAGTTGATGCCTTAATGCATATTATTAGGTCTTTTCCTAAGTGTTATTTTTCTCTTAGAGGTCTAATTTCTCATTCTATTACATTTGTTGTTGTTAAGTGCCATCAAGTCGTAGATGACTCATAGCAACCCTACCAATGAAAGGCCTGAGCACTGTTCATAGAGTTTCTGGAGGCAAGCCATTTCAGAAGTGGATGCCACTCCTGCTTCCAAGCTTGTTTTAATCGGGAAGCTCCACCAAACACTGTCCACCATGGGTAAACAATATCACATTTGACACATCAGTGTCACAGTGTTTAGCATCACAGCAACCATAAGTTACCTCTGTACAGCAATGCACACAGACCAGTGCTATACTACATAGAGGAATGTTTGACCAAAAAAAACAAATTTTAACCAGGCTTGAGGGCCTGTAGCCCTCAGGCCCTTCAGGGCTTTGAGCCACCTTATATTTCATTTAGGTGGGGGGGGGGGGGAAGAGTTAGAGTTTTTAGATTTTTTATTTCTCTAAAATATAAACCAAAAATATTCTAACACATTATAGTGTGTTTGTATATGTATGTAAATATATATGCTTTCTCTCCTATATTCCTAATATAGTAGCTGTCTATCACAAAATAGAGCTTTTATTTACCTACTGCTAACAATTAGTAATGAATTTCAGAAAAGACATTTTTATTTGCTTTTTTTCCCCAGAGCTTTCATGATTTAAGGGGTGGTTAATAATATTTTCATCTGTTCTAGAATTGCTCTAAGGAATGGTCTTCCAGCCAGCATGGAAAAAGCAAAAGCAACATAAATTTCATCTCAGTATACTGGACGCAGAGAACAATATTCAACATATCACCATTCTACTGGGTGCATGTTCTATCACACTCCTAAAATAGGTGTGGTGAGAGCAAAATGGTTACATTACGTGTAGGCTATGCTTGGATGCATGGTCATGAAACTCTGTGTGTGTGTGTGTGTGTGTGTGTGTGTGTGTGCGCACAAACCAAACATTATACAAAATGCATACATGCCAGCATCTTAAATTGCTGAAGGATTGTTATATGAGTATTTCAGGGCAGCCTATTATGGTCACCCTGAAAAGGCCATTGACAGCAGAGCATGTGCACAGTTCACAGTCTTGGGCTCTTTTTCATCATGCACAGCTATGCGCATCCCCTCCTGGTTCTCCCAACCAGGCCTGAAGGGCTGATGTTCAGCCAGTATTCACCAGGAGGACTTTTCACCAGGTGGCCGCCAAAGAGAAGTACCCTTGTTAGATCCTAGAAACTACCTCACCGAAAGCCACATCCTTTCAGGGGCAGCACCCAGCCAATGATTGGCTCGTGAGAAGATATAATTCAGGACAACTTTGAAAGAGCATTCCACCTTCATGTAGTCCTCAGCTGAGGCCTCTATTGCATCTTCATTTAATGTCTCCCTCATAGGTCTTCTTCTCCCTTGAAGATTTTCCAATAAACCTTTCACAGGCAAATCTTGGAGTAGGTTGTCAGGAACTCTCAGTCCAAGATGAGGATTAATGAACTTGAATGGACTAATCAATGTTTACCAAGCCAAGAACACTTTGGTTAAGCAATTGTTGACGGTTGCAATGTTTTCTATGAAATGTTCCCCAGTATGGAGCAGAGAAGTACCATTTCAATTTGCAGTCCTGTATTCATTGTTTGTGAAAATAGAAGACTACTGAGCTTTTGAAATAGAGAAACATGAACATTTCAGCACATGGTTTACCCACAAGGAGAGCAGAATAGAATAACAATATCTGGTAAGGTGCATATAACACACACACACATACACAAGAAACTCATTGCTGTTGGGCACATTCTGACTCTCTATACTGAGTTTTCTAGGCCATAAATCTTTGTGGGAGGAGGCCGCTTGTCTTCCTCCCTCAGAGTGCCTGGTGAATTTGAACCACCAAATTCACAGCAGCCTGGCATGTTATGCACTATGCCACCAGTGTTCCTTCACCTCTGACATAAAGAAGAGACTACCTCTTCATATGTGTGTCACAAAGTACATTTAGGCAACAGGTGTCTGCTTACCCCTGTTTAAGTCGATGGAGCCCACAGGTGCCTCTTACCTCCAGGACTAGCCACAGCTGTCCTCCCACACACTGATCCGCCTTGTAAAACATCCCACAAAACTTTACAACATTGGGATGATTAGGAAGAAATTGCAAAATGTTATATTCAGCCTCAATTTCTTCATCCATGTCCTAAAGGGGACAAAAAAACACATGCTGGATTAAGCTAAATTACTGTGTAAGAAAGAATATAGATATCATGATCAAGTAATCACTTAATGAAGCAGAGTCACTGTATTTTTAATATTGTGAAAATACTTAAGAATGGCCAGTCCAATTCCAGTTAAATCTCCTAGTTATTATATTAATAGAATGTCTCTATTTTTTTTAACACTCTAAATATCTTTTACATTTTTTAAGGTACACATTTTCAAAGCCATTAAAGAAGACTAAGTCAACACAAGCAACCCACTAGAAATGCATAACCTTTGAGTCAATCCCAACCAATAGCAATGCTTCAGCGGTTTTTCTGAGGCTGTGAATGTTTTTGAGAGAAGACAGTCCATCTTTCTCCATAGAAGCAGGTGCTTGGATTTGAACAGCCAGCCTTTTATATGGTGCACAATGCACTACACACTATGCTACCAGAACATAAGGTAGGACACATATTATCTTAGTAGTCAAAATTATGGAGCATTATTCATTCAGCGTTCAGAGCTGTGCTAGAAACCACTGATTAGCTGCCTCTGACAACCTGCTCGATGGTTAGCAATGGTTTGGTCTGACTTGACACTACACAACAATAAAAAGATAATAAAAGATTACATATCTGGGATGTTTTGAATTTTATGAGAGATGTTGTTGTTGTTGTTTGGTGCCGTCAAGTCGTAGGCGACTCGTAGCGACCCTATGAACGAACAGCCTGAGCACTGTTCATACATAGAGTTTCCGGAGGCAAGCCATTTCGGAAGTGAATGCCGCTCCTGCTTCCACTTATGAGAGATAGGCTCAGATAATTGAAAAGCCTCAGTCTTAAACATCTCAGTCATAAAAGAACAAATACTCTATGATGACACTGTTGTAGAATGAGGCTGACATCAGGGTGTGGGTAAGACTGAGAAAAACTGGATAAATTATGTTTACTGCATGGAAGCTGATGAGGGAGAGAACAGTTTAAACGTAATATATTTTAGGGCATTATGATTATCATAAGAGTTTGGAATGAGGGTTGCAGAGTGGAGTGTACTCGGGGTGGGGCTGGGGGGGGTGCTGGGGGTTTGTATACCAATTAAGGAGTTTTTCTTTTGCTTTTGAAGAAGAGAGAACTGGGGGTGGGCGGGGAGAAAAGTGCAACAATGAAAGAATGGAAATCCACAATCTCTGTAAATGTTCATTGAAATTAATAATATATATATAAAAAGCCTCACTCTTTCCAAGGGGATACTCTTTGAAGAGGCCAGTGGTCCACAAAAAACAAACCAACAGTGAAATGGCCAAGAAACAAAAAGTCAAGACTATATTTAATTCCAAGTGAAGTCCCTCCATTCATTGGGGCTGGCTAATCATGCTTTTATTTTGAAATTTCATGCTGGGCTTCATTAACATTATCTCTAGGATCAGGAAAAGAAGTTGAATGTTCAATATTCATGAAACACTGTAATGTGGTCATCAGTTGTCAGAGTTACTTACACTGATCGGGTCCAGAATTTTGACTGCAGCCAGGCTACCATCTCTCTTATTAGTCACCTTGTAGACCTTACCATAGGTGCCTTTCCCAATGGTCTCTATAATTTCCCAGGTATCTGTGGGATCCGGAAGTGATTCAAGTCCAAGCATCGTGGGGTTGTAGTGAAATAATCCATAAAGGTGTTTCCTGATAAGGACAAAAATTATTTATGTGCAACAGATTCTAGGATTGGGGACAGAGGACTTTCAGAGCAACGATATATTTTTTATCTCAAACAGTGAATAGTGAGGGGGGGGACATATAGAGAACTCTGGTGGCCCGCAAGAGCATCCCAAAGGCACGCAGTTCAAGTCTACCAATTGCTCCACGGGAGAAAGATGAGCAATATCTTGCCACGTGATTAACAAACAACTATATATATATACACACACACATATATATATGTATGTATGTATATATATATACATATTTATGTGTGTGTGTATATATAATATGTTACATATATATTTTGCTGTATGCAGTCAAGTTGGAACTGACCCATAGCTGAGCCTCCAGTGGGTTTTCAGAGGCAGTTAATCACATGGGAGGAGATGTCCATCCTTCTTCTGTAGAGCAGTTGGTGGGTTTGAATTTGGTGTCTTTAAAATTTCAGCACAGCTTCTTACCACTAAGCCACCAGAGTGTGTGTGTGTGTGTGTGTGTATACACACACACACATATACACAGAAGACCTCCTTAAGGAAATGTGAGTAGAAGGTAAAGTGGAAGAGTAACATGATTCAGAACCATCCTGATTATGTACAGGTTGTTCAGAAAACTCACTGGTCCATTGTAACTCATGGCTCCCCTCGAACAAGCAGGATTCTAAGGTGATAAATCGTTATAGAAGACTGTGCACCCTCTTCCCTCAGAGCAGTCAGTAGTTTTCAAACTCTGACCTGTTGGTTAGCAGTGCAAAACCCTATGTGTTATGCACTAGAGCTCCTCACACATACTGCAAGAGTAAGGGGGCAAAGCAGCAGCTCAGCTGTGACCACACAGCTGTAATTCATGGCACTGCTGAGTGACGGGCAGCTGCTGCTACTGCTGCTTATGGAGGTGGAGCAAGAAAGAACACACCAACTTGAGTCCATAAGGCTTAGATCTTAGCTCCCAGGATATTGAACCTCTGACCAGGGCTGGTAGTTTGTGAAAATCTGAGCTTGTAGGGCATGCACACTGCAGAGGTGCCTGCATCCAGCACCCAGGAGCCCAGAAGCCCAGAAGCCCAGAAGCCCAGGAGCCCAGGAGCCCAGGAGCCCAGGCTAGGCCCACCCTGAGCTGAAGGAGGAAACCTCAAAAGATTTCTTTGTCCAGTACCTCCTACCTTCCTCCTGCTGGCTTCCTAATTCCAGCTGACACCAGCTTCTTCCTTGGAGAGTGCTTCACAAAGCCAAGATTTCTCACACTGTTGCTGTATCTGGACACTGCTTGGGCTATATATTTCGTACAACTTTTAAATTGCTTTTGTTTTTACTTAAATAAATGTATTTTAACCAAAACCAAGTCAGTCGCCTCCAACATAATTTCTACTGCTGGTGAGCCCGCATGTGCTCCACAGAATGTTCAGTGGCTGTTTTCTCACAGGTCGTTTTTCTGGCCTTTCTTTTGTAGAGTGTCAGCAAAACAGAGAAAGATCCCCCAGGCTATGGATCAACACAGTGACTTCAACAATGGCTATGAATCATACTCAACTCAATGGCACCTAACAACAATAACAGCAGCAACCTGTCTGAACCCGAACTTTCAATTTTTCTGTTGGCAGCTGAATACGTAACTGTTTTATACCACTATACCACCCTAAACTCCAAACTGTCCCCTTTATGGAAAGATAATCATTTTCCATAGCCAACATCATTTGTCATATATAAAATTAGGAAACTCTGGTGGCTAAGGAGTTGTGCTGCCAATTCAAAAGCACACAATTCAAATCTACCAGCTGCTCTGCAGGAGAAACATAGCAATTCCTCCTGTGCACTTTACTGCCTCTGAAAAAACTGGAAGGTCAGCTTTGAGTTGGTTCCTACTCAATGGTACATAACAATAACATACAAAATTAACTGCACAAAAGTTATTATGCTAGAGAGCGAGGGATTAAGATGCAAGTTCGGCCAGATTCGGCTGCCTAGAGGGCCATTGCTAACGCTTGGCTTTTCTACAAGCAAAGAAGAGAACTAGTTTTGCATGCTGGTCAGATATGCTGAGGAGGGCACTGACAGTCTAGATATAGTAGCACCTGCCAGTGCAACCTCTATTCACCTATCAGTAGGCACACCTGAGTGTGAGCTCAGTGCCTGGACACAGTAGCACTCAAGGTAAACTGCCAGCATAATCCTGCTCTGCTAACCAGCTCACCAGCGGAGGGACTGACGCCGGTTGGCTTTTTCACCTGCCTTATGATCCCTGCTGTGCTATAATAATCAAAGGATGAGGATAAATTAAAGTGAGCATGGTGAGTGTCAAAGGCTGTCACAACAGCACAGCACCAAGATGTGCTTCAGCATAGGTGAGGTTTTGACAAACATCCCGTATTATGTTCCTTTTAACCAATAAATGAGAATTAAATTATTATTACTCCAATCAATTATTGGCTTCAGAAAAATGGCTGGCACTTCCTATGTGCTTATGAAACATAATCATGAAATGTGCCAGGAGGATCTTGGAGGCTATCAAACCAAGGAGTTTTCTAATGTTTTTGGCTGTGACACTTTTCATTCAATTAAACATTACTCATGATGCTGAGTTAGCAGCTGAGAGAGGTGGCATAGTTCTGGCAGTGGCAGATGAGCTGCCAAGCCTTTGACCTGTGCTCCTGCAGGTGCTGGATAGGGTGAGCAGTCAGCCTATTTGTCTTGAGTCTACCTCAAGTTTAGCACCAGAAGCACTGCATCATCCTCGGAAACCCCAGGAGTAATAAGATAGTTGTCACTCCAACCTTCTGAGACTGGTGGGATTCCTCAGAACATTGTGAGGACAAAGCAGACTGTGGTGGGTTAGTGGCAGAAATGTTTACTTCCATGCAGAAAATGTGTATGATTCCCGGTCTATGTATCTCATGAGAAGCCACCAGTGAGCTTGAGGGTTGCTATGATGCTGTTGAGCTTCCAGACTGAGATGGACTACGAAGAACTGTCTGTTGACCTACCCCACCCACACACACACACACACACACAAAAATCAAGCCAAATCCTACATTGCCCATAACGATCTAGTTCACAAGCCATCAGTGGATGGCATCGAACCAGGCAATATTTTGTTCCATTGTGCATGGGGACGCCAAGAGTCAAGATCAACTAGAGGACAGCGAATAACACTGACTTTCACCACCACCACCACCCTTTCTCACCTCTGCCCATGATACAGATAAAGACACTGAAGCCAAGATTGGTGACACAGCTATTTAGGGTCAGTTCAGGAATGGGAATCTAGGCCCTAGGTCACAGAATCAATCATTTCTGAACCAATGCAAGGCTGACCCTCCAGTCAGCTTTCAGAGGCTGTAAATCACACAGGAGGAGATAATCCCCACGAACCAATCCACCTCCAACATCCCATTCAACTAAACTATCATCAAAATCACTCAACACCACACTATTAACTATACACCCTGGTTCTATAAACAATCAAGCCAAAACTACTAATTCAACCAATACGCCAACCAATACACCACCTAAAACTACCTTACTAGATCTCCACAAGGAGCAGCTGATAGATAATAACCACTTGCTTTGGGGTTGGCAATGTAGCTCATTATTTACTAGGCCACCTTGATCCCAGAATAGAATTAAGAAAATCAACTTATCAACACTTGGTTCTCTCTGACCAACTCTATCACATTTTTTAAAGTGCTATGAAGGAAATAGCATTGGTCTGTCCATTTGCTGTACAGAGGTAACTGTGAAGCTGAAAACTGTGTCAAGTGAGATAATGGTTACCCATGGTGGACAGTGTTGGGTGGAGCTCCCCGATTAAAACAAGCTTGGAAGCAGGAGTGACATCCACTTCTGAAATAGCTTGCCTCCGGAAACTCTATGAATTGGAGAAATAATGAAAGTTATACAAGTTTTCGGATCTTCTGTTCATAGGGTTGCTATGAGTTGTTTATGACTCTACGGCACTTAGCAACAACATGAAGGAAATGCTTGGAATCAGATGGAGGTTAGGTGCCCTGCTTAAAACATTCACTTCCACATGTTATATCTGCTCTTCCTAACCTGAAAGTACCTCACCCAGAATCATCAATGATGAGGAAGCAGGAGGCAGACCTGTAGGGTTTTGCTGGCATGTCCGTCATGTAAACACCCACAGAACAGGTTAAGTAATAGTGAAAGCGGGGAAAGCACTGTTGTGAAGGTTGCTTGTCCTTTCTCTTTAAAATATGGCTCTAAAAACTCTTCAGAAATTGATTAAATAGCCCAAAAAGTGGCTGCTTGTACAGCTCCATAAACGTGGTGGGATCTTTTCTGGGGAAACTGCAAAAGCAGGTCTTTAGATGGTTGAACTCCTGGCCTCACCTGAGGACAAACTGCACCAGGAAAGGCCAAGAATAATTTGAAGTGGGAAGTCTGACACTTGACACGTTGTATCAGAATTCTCAGAAGTCCTCAAGGTGGCACCTGCAGACCCTAAAATGGGGATTTTTTTTAATGTATTAAATTGTGTATTTCCCCATAATATGTGTTGAAATCTTAACCCCATGTACTTGTGGATGTAATGCTGTTTGGGAATGGAGGTTCTCTATGTTAATGATAAATACCCTAGTGGTTCTAAGTCTAATCACTTTTGGGTTCTAAAAGAAGTATATTAGGTACAGAGATATGAATACATGTAGAAGACACATGAGGGACACCAAGAAACTAAGGAATTTAGCCTGAGATTACCAGTCAGATCAAAACCATCAACATGGCCAAGACCCTGACTTGACCTTTCAGCCTTCACAACTGTGAGAAAATAAATGTTTGTTCTTTAAAAAAACCACCTACTCATGGTATTTGTGTTACAGCAGCACTACAAAACTAAGACAGAGTGCATGTAATTAGCTTAATGTAAATGAAAAGATGGCGTCAGGAGCCTAATAAACTTGGGTTACACCAGCTTCACTCATTGAAGGACTAACGAGATTGAGTGCTATACTCCAAAAGAAGCTGTACAACTAACTCAAAAGGCTTTTCTGGCTGTTTGAATCCACCGGTGACTTTTTGTGAGAAAGATAGGCAAGCTCTACCCATGTGATTTACAGCCTCTGAAACCAATGGAGGTCAGCGATGAGCTGGTTCAAACTCAAGGAACCAATTCACTTGAGTAAGTGAGTAAGTGAGTGAGTGAGTCAGTCAGTCAGCTAGTCAATCATTCAATCAGTGAGTTAGGAAGTGAGAAAGTGAGTGAGTGAGTGAGTGAGGTGTATGTAGGCAAAGGTAGGGACGGACGGTGGGTGTCAGTGACATGTAAAGTTTACAAACCCATCAGCAGTCCTATTTGCCTCGATGTGTCTGCTCAAGAGACTGTCTGCTCAATGTGAAAACTTAATGAACACTTCACTTTTGCAGGAAGTGGTGGTGTTACATAAGCTGATGCTGAAAAACAGATTTCTCCTCAAAGTCACTGCTTGCTTAGAGCAAGATTCCAATATTTCACCTATTACTGCAACACTCAAATATTTCTACTATCAGAAACAGCCATGCTATTAGCAAAGGAAGGAGGATGTCACCTAGAAGAGATACTCCTGTTTAGTAAAAAAAGGATAATGTGGCTATTAAAGGAACACTTTCCTTCTTTTGCAACAGTATTAGCC